AACATAGTACATGACAATACATAAAAAGGATAACAGAAACTCCCCTAAATACTGGACACCAAAAAAGTATGATGTATGGTTTAATGCAGATGGAATACATTGCATCTCAGCTGTTTTCGTCAATATCAAAGGATGATAAAACTTACGATACATTCACAAACAATATGTTTTTTTTTATTTTATGCGTCTTAATATTTGATAACTAGAAACGGCATACATTCTCATTCAAATAAATAACCTAATATAATACATGCCTAACATCACAAATTACATAAACTCTGTCTGAAATTTAAACATCTGCAAAAATGTTTGTCCTTCCGAGGCACGATTTGACTAACGATAGATATATTTTATATAGCATAGTTGGTCGAGTAGTCTAAGGTCCTTGACATAGTGCAGGCGGACTTGTCACGATATCGTACAAGCATGGATTCAAATCCCGTTGAGAGAATGACAAAATTATGCAACAAGACTGAACGTAGTAAACTTGTAAAAATACCAAAGCAATAACCATCAAGGTTCAAAGTGATTAAAAAAACTGAAGGTCTTCTGAATGGTAAATCAATAAACGATGAATTACCTAGTCTCCGAGCTCTATCATTTCTTCAAATTACAAAGGTCAAGGTAAAAAGGCCGTACTTTGACTTATAATGGTTTACTTTTACAAATTGTGACTTGGATGGAGAGTTGTCTCATTGGCACTCATACCACATCTTCTTATATCTTTTAGTAAAGAAAACTATAAAAATTCAACTCAATTTGTAATTCTAAGAGAGTAATGATTAAGAGTCTGTTACATCAAGGAGGTTACATATATAAAACAAAATGAATTATTTCAGAGAAAAAAAAACTACTTTTGTCAGTTTTAATGGACAGCTTCTTTTTGAATTTACCTTGGAGATTGATATTTTTGTTATACTTTTTTTATACTCACAATATATAAGGTATAATAGGAATCATTAGATCATGCAAAAGGGTTATCAAAGGGACAACTCATTAATAATTACCCTGAAAACGACAAACTATGAAAAACAAAGTCAGTATCACCACATAACACAGCGATTAAAATCGGATATTATGGAAAAGTTTAAAGCATTTCCTGGATTCATGTTGACCTTTGCATACGTCCAGAAGAAGGCGTTATAGACAGAAGCAGTAAACAAACAGAATATATTTATAACGTATGCCTAGTACCGTCATTTTACCGAAATGGTATTTAACTTCGTCTTAAATATATGTTGCTTGTAATTGATGGAAGGACTGATATATGTTTTGTAATTTCTTAGTTAGTTAGAAATAGAATTTTGAGTCACACGGGGGGAAATTTGTCATGAGGTTTTCTTTTTATCAAATTAAACTATTTATATCTTAACCAAATGAGAAAAGTAATAAAGGTTCTATAATCGATCTCCAAACGTTGACATGGACGCATCACGTAATAAATATTAATTAAGCTTATTACTTATCTATTATTACTTTTTTTTAATAAATAATTCAATTTTTTTTTACATAACATTTTACAACTTTTCAAACTTAGATTTACAGTGAATGTAGCATCGATTGAGAATGGATTTTTTTGCCAGGCTTGTATGGCAATATTCGGTGGTCAGTAAATTTAAAGTAAATTGAACATACGCCATTCTTTTTGGGACAACAATATGGTTTGATTTGGTTTATGTTCAACATAAATTCTTAAATTTCTATTAGCATCATTTTAAGGGTTTACCGTGATGAAAATCTTTCACACCAGCCGAAACATTAAACAAGACTTAATTAAAATGAATGGCCCAATTTCATTTTTACCACCTTTGCGTGTTTAGTAAACAGTTGTACGCCGAGTGTATGATTCTCCTCACAATCAACAATTAGGTATTTGTCATTCTTGTCAAATTGTTAATGTTAAATTTTACACGTGTTTAGATATCCAAGATCATGTGACCTATCTTGACTTTAATGCTTGCAGCTAACCTTTTAACGCCTTAGTGATAGATGGAGTCAGATTCTCGCCTTCAAGATCTCATTAGTATCAGTTTGACAAGAACCAATTCCATGTCATTGGTGAATTTCGACACGATGTGCTTTAAAATATTTAACGGGGTCTGTCATCGACATATCAACAACCTCACATCAAGAACATGACCCGTTTTACATAAAATACATTAGCTTATCAAACTCGTGTTTAGATAAATATTGTTTATATACAATTAAAACGTACAACTTAAAAACTAATTTGTCAAAAAGGTTGTTTTCTGCAAAATAAAAACTCATTTAATTTGTGAACATATCATGAAAAGATAAAAAGAATCATATATACAATGTACATAGATATCAATAGTAACGCTTTGGAAAAATACTTGTTTCCAAAATGTTGATATTTATTTGAATACATTTTTGTGTCATTTTGCAAATACATACTGGTTTTAGTAGATTTTTATTTGTGATTGTATGTTCATAGATGAGCTATACCCACCGTTTTAGTAAAAGCACCGAAATTTTTATATTTATATAATATTCTGAAACTGAATATTATATATTAATACTACATTTCGCATTTGTTTTTGTTTCAGTTATTATTCACATGCAAGTCATTTATGTTACATGGTATTAAGATACATTACAAAGAGATGTTATTTTGCATTAAATGGACTCACAAGATGGATAGTACAACAGATATATAGAGTTTTGCTTGCGCAAGTATTTTATGCCTTTAACAAACCAGGAAATGTATTATTTTAAAATATAGTAGTTTCTACAATTACCATGAATACACCCATACATTAACAAATTTTGACAACCATTAAAAAAAAACTCAAGTAATGATTTTCACCAAGTTGCGGAACCGTAGCTCTTATGGTCTTTATGATATTTTTGACAATTTGCGGGCCATTCGCGCCCTATGCGACACATCGCGCTAACGGGAGTTGTAAGTGATCCGCAAATTGTCAAAATATTTTTCACCCATGTTGAAACACTGGATAAATTTCTGAATAACTGAATGAATTATAACGTATTAATTTATTTTTCGTTGATTTTTTTTTTAAATTAAGGTAGCATATATGTTCAATTTGATTTTCGTTGTTTGTCACATAAAGCAAAAATAAGACGAAAACAAATGCAAATAAAAAAATATGGGAATGCTCTTTACCGTCGAGTATTAAACGCACTTTTATCATTACTACTGTCGGCATAATGGAAATAAATTGTCATTGTGTCTCTTAAAATCCATTGCTTGTTTTCCCCGTCCTGGTGTTATCGTCAATGTGGTGATTATCGCTACAAGAGATCATATGTGATATTCCTATCTGTCATTGAATAAAAAAGAAAAAATCATACAAACATATGAAACGTCAAGAGAAAAGGGTATATTTTAGAATAACTCATTGGGCATCTGTTGAGTTAAGGTTTTTCAAGCACAGGAAAGGACTGGAAAGAAAAATAAACGGTTCATCGCAGATAAATGACCTTAGACAGGTTTGACTTTAATATTTATCAGCCCTTTTTGTTACATGTGGTCATGTGGTCAACTGTTTAATTTATTTGGCGTCCCGTACATTCATCTTGTTTCGTACCTGCAGAAGAGCATTAAAGAAATATGTGTAATATACAATGAAATAGAGTTTATTTCAAATCAAAATAGACAAAAATCTCGTGACGGCAACCAGAAAATTGACGATTTTGGACGTAATATGACCCTAAGCTATCTTGACGTTAATATGGCATCTTCAAATGTAATATTGTTAAGTTCTAAGTATATGAAAATAAGAAGTTGTGGTATGATTGATAAGAGACAACTTTCCACCAGAGACCAAATGATTTAAAAGTTAGCAACTATAGGTATCTTGAAATGGCCTTCAACGATGAGCAAACAAATATGCAGCCAGTTCATTATATAATGTTAATAAATGTTATATCGTTTTATAAGCTTGTATATATCTGTTGCTGACTGCCATATTTGTTTTTCTTTAATGTTGTTTTAGAATAAATTGGTTTTCTCGTATAAATTGTTTCACATTTGGCATACCGGATATGCTCACTTCATATGGTATTACTGAAGGCCGTGCGGTGGCCTATAGTTTCATATATCCTTGTCCTTTGCTATCTGGTGAATTGTTGTCTCATTGGCAATAATACCAATCTTCTCATTTTTATATAATAATTTCAACATTTTCAAAAGTACATTGAATTAACAAATTGAATTTTTTTTATGTGTCTCGAATAGTTGTACTGAGTCTACTATTTAAGCCACTTGGTAGAATGTTCATTTATCTAATTCGATCGTTGTGCAAAAAAGTTATTGCAGCTATGATATATGGTGACTATACAGAATAACATTTGTAATTCATTTTTAAAGAACATACGTTAAATCGCGGATGTCATTGCATGAATGAGTGTGAAAATGTTTTCTTAATTTTGTAACTTTGTTCTCCTTAAAACGAGATTTAAGCACAGTGGGAGTTATTTATCAAATTGTATTTTTTCAAAATGTGTGTACCTAGTGCCAGTCAGCTGTTCATTTACAGTTTAAAATCTTCTAATTAACTTTAAACCTGTTTAAATGTAGACATTCATGCTTATTTCATGAACATTTAAACAGAACATAAAATTTCATTAAGATAGTTTCCTGACAAATCCGCAATTATCCGTGTTGACAAGAAATTTATTTGAAATATCTCACCAAACGCAATATATCTATTAGCACGCCATTTCCCTTATGTCTTAATACAAAATTGTTCTTTAACGACTCAAAGGCGTGGCTTAGCTGATAAAGATATCCAATATATTTTCTTAGAAGAGATGCCTGTTTCTTGTGTTGACCATTAAATTGGTGAATTTTTTTATTAATGAGGATGTAATAGAATTTTATCTTATCTTAACATGAGTGTATGTTGACTTTAAAATAAACCAGAAAAAGTTTGGACAAAAGTTAAAAACAGGTGTTTAAACAAAAGATGGAACCATTAAAATTAAATAAAGAAAGTGTTTCAAAACATTCAAAAAACATGGAAAGTTCAAATAAAAATGACAATCCTGAGGAAAACAGAACTAAAGCTAAGCTATCATTTGGAATGAGTAGAATTCTAGACAATAGTGAAAAATCTACAGCAGAACAAACTGTGCAAGAAATAAATTCGGACGATGAGAACGAATCTCGCCACACAGAATCCCCAGAGTTTACCAAGAAACAAATAAGTGAACTGAGTGGATATAACAGTTTTCCACATTGTTTACAACCAATGCCGTATGTACCGTTCGGACTGTGTGGTATACCTTCATTAGCACTTCCCATTCCCAGACCAAATCCTGTAGTTCCTGTGTTATCGTCCTACTCTTTCCCCGGATGGATGGATCTCAGGAGGGACAGATATAGCAGTAAGTATTAGTTTAGTGGTCACAATGCACGTCAATAAGTAACACAATGGTATGTGACAATCTAAGTAATAAAAACCGAAATTTGCACATAGAAGGTACACCATAGTGCTATTCATAATATGTTTTTATTCAAGTATATTAAACATGAACAGCTATTTAATCAACCATTTTGAGAAAAGAGAAAACAACAATCCTAGCAATTTTAAGTATTAAAGTATATTTATTAAGGAACATTTTCTTGCATATATTTCAATTTATTAATAAATTCACCCTGGAAAATTAAGTAAAGCATGCTACACAGCATTTGATTCAGAATAAAATAAATAACAAAATAAATTGCACTATTTTAAAAATAAAGACTAGAATACAAAATATTTATTTTGTTAATTCACTTGATTCTATTTACCTTGTGGTATGATCAAAGAATTCGATATGGTGAAGAAATTAAAATAGCATATATTATTATAAATATTTATAAATTCTTGTATTTACTGATTTCATCTGTATATGTGAAAACACTTCAATAAACATGAAGTTGACTTATTCTGTGCCAAATCTGCAGAAAATCTAGTATTCAGGACAAAATATCATGATCTTAATGTTGATAGTTTTGAAACAAAATATGTATGTCAGTACAAGGTGTACCTTTATTAATAATTGTTATTAATTGCAGAGGGTTAATTAAATATATTTTTTTGTGACAGGATAAGACAATATATAATTTGTAAAACAATAAATCTTTACGATAAGGTTGTTTAAAAAATAAAAGATTTACATTTTTCCGAAAATGAAGCAATAAAATGGTATCTTTTAAAAACTTAAGTGTATTTGCATATTTATATAGACAGAAAATTTTCATACAATGCAAATAAACTATTTATAAATTACTACAATCTTTTTCTTAATTTAAAATAATCTTTAGTTTTATAACTCTATTCATTTTAAAATCTTCTCCATAAATACTCTATCATCATGCATATTTTTCGACTTTCTAAAATATCATGTTTTGCTTTCAGTAACGAGAAGAATTGGTCATCCATACCAGAATAGAACACCACCCAAAAGGAAGAAACCTCGAACATCATTCTCAAGATTACAGATCATGGAACTAGAGAAACGTTTCCATCGACAGAAATATTTAGCCTCAGCAGAAAGATCGGCACTTGCTAAGGGTTTAAAGATGACAGATGCTCAAGTTAAAACATGGTTTCAAAACAGACGGACGAAATGGAGGTAATTTGTTTTCAGTCCTTCATACACATATGTAATGAGGAGTACCCAAATCGCATCCATGCTTAAATTCACATCCATAAAAATCGAAAAAACGGATATTTTGTTTTATTTCTCCAAATATTTAGAACAATTTGACAATACTCCATGCCTACTTTTCATTTTCTAACAAATGGATGCCTGTAACATATTTTAATTGCTCATTTTTAAAAGTTGACTTTTTGTGGACGTCGCATGGTGACGTTTTCGTAGATTTTACTTTTCCCAGTGAATACTTCATCTATTGACATATACTGTGAACGTTTTGTGTATATTTTAATAGATTTAGCTATGTTGAAAGACGTGCATAATATCAAGTCATAAAAAGACAAATTGTCTCTAGGAAAACTTGTTAGATTTCCGCTGCTATTTTTGCTAAATGGGTGCAATTTGGGTACTGTGACGTTAACTATCTATTCGCATTATTCATTCTGCGCACAATTTATCACAATTAAAAATTCCAAAATAGTGTGTATAAAGTTTGATTTTAAAAGATGTTTTTATTAGTTTTTTAAGTCTTCTGGGTGCTATAAAATAAAAGTACATTTAGAAACTATACTTCTCTCGTAATAGGATATTTTGTCATTTTAGAATTGACGGTTGTTACAGATGTAAAACCATACATAAAGTATGATTTCACCAATTCATTTCTTACAATATGTAACTATGTTATATGCCGCTTTTGTTCTTTTTAGTATTTAAACTTTATATTTGAATTTAATAAATCTAAATGAAAAATATTCAACTGGTGTATAAATTATTTTTCAGACGACAAACGGCAGAAGAGCGGGAAGCCGAGCGCCAAGCAGCAAATCGTCTGATGATGAGTCTTCAGTCCGAGGCAAACAAAACAGTTTACGATATCAGAGACCCTCTGTGTATGAGCAATTCTTCACTTCATGCTCTACAGAATTTGCAACCGTGGGTGGATGAAAGTTCCATGAGTTAGCACAGGGTCAACTATTACTTTATTTGATTGTGATCAGTGAGTTGAAAAAGATGTATTCATTTGGAACTATTTGATTGTAAATCAAACTGACTACTTAATTGTTATTTTATGTTCATCTAAATTTATTAAAATTTTATTATCTATCTATTGACACGTGTTTTATAATCATTTATAGAAATAAGGAAAACAACAGTATCGCAAAAATTATTCAAAGTTTGAAAACAATAAATTAGAACTATTTAGATGATTTGATTGTTCTGTTTTGGGGCTTTTCAATGATAGATTGTTTTGTTGCTTTATGTCGCATTGCTATACGCAGCATTAGCGATAAAGATGATGTTTTTAAATGTTTAATTGATAGAAAAATGAGAAGATGTGGTATGATTGCCACCAAGACAACTATCCAGCAAAGTTCAATCGTTCCTTATCAAACATATTTTGTCTATGTAAAAAATGGTCTAATGGTTTACTTTTACAAATTGTGACTTGGATGGAGAGTTGTCTCAGTGGCACTCATACCACATCCTCTTATATCTTTTGAATAGATATGATTGTAACTATATCTGTTGTATAGTATTAACAATTCTTTTTTTATTTATTAGACTTTAAAGATACAACTTTTGGACATGCATACCAGAGGCGGATTTAGGGGGGGGGGGGGGGTCAGGGGGCCCGCCCCCCCCCTTTTGTGGGAAAAATTAGGTCGATTATATAGGGACTCACTGAAGCATGACTTGAGCGGGCCCCCTCTTAGGCAGTCAGTGGGCCCCCACTTATGAAAATTTCTGCATCCGCCACTGCAAAGAAATCATTAAAGCCATCCATTTTTTTATAACTTTTATCAATGGGTTTGAGGTAAATACTTCCATCAGGCGATTTGTATTCCAAAGGGAACTAACTGTGTCTCTCTTGACTAGACCTTTTCTTTTTTTTCCATTCATGTTGATATAAAAATAAGAAGAAGTGGTATGATTGCCAATGAGACAACTCTCCACAAGAGACCAAATGACATAGAAATTAACAACTATAAGTCACCGTATGGCCTTCAACAATGAATAAAACCCATACCGCATAGTCAGCTATAAAAGGCCCCGAAATGACCAATATAAAACAAATCAAACGAGAAAACTAACAGCCTGACTTATGTACAAAATAATGAACAAAAACAAATATGATATGTATATACAGCAACAAACGACAACGACTGAGAATGTGGCGGGTTAGACTAGTTTGAAGGCGCCAACCCTCCCCTAACCTGGGCCAGTGGTGTAACAGAACAACATAAGAACAAACTATAAAAATCAGTTGAAAGCTTAACTTGTGGAGTGCACATTTCTCAGTTGGATCGATATGCGCATGTATGCAGTGACGTCTCAGTTTGAAATTAACGTAATATTTTCAATTACAATATATATATGTAAATTAGTCAAACATTTGTATCACAAATAGCGAAATATAATTGTAGAAGTATGATTCCATATGCAGGAATCTCATAAAAAGTGGTATTTCACATCCACCCTTTTACGGTTATAAAGCTAATAAATCTAGGGACTGTCTTTTAAGTCTTTTTTTTTTTTTTTGGGGGGGGGGGGGGGGGGGGGGGGGCTAAATAGAGTTTCGATAACAGTATTAAATAAACTATTGGTGTGTAATCAGCAAATGAGTGCGTGTTTTTTTTTTCATTTTTTGTTGTGATAAACATCGATTCGCTAAATCAATGACCGAAACAAGACTAAAACTTTTCTGTTTTGAAAATTTGTCCAGCTTTGTTCTGGATATTGAACAAGATCATATTTTTCCAGTGCTAACTGTGCCGTTGTTGTCTACAGCCTTCTCTGAAGTACAGTCACCGATATTAGAGTTTAGGGAAGGGGGTAATTTCTTATCTGTAGGTTAAGTACTTTGAACTATCTTTCAGTAAATGCGAGCGTTATTCTACAACTATATTTCATCATGTACCATGTATTTCTTTGTTTTGTTTTTGTTTTTATTATAGTATTAATTAGGGGTAGGTTGGAAGGCGGGGGGAGGGGGGTGTGTGAAAAAAAACCAAGTTTAAGCCGGTTACATGATGTACCTGTCTCAAGTTTAGAACTTTGTCAGTGGTTGTCTTTTGTTATATATTTGGTTTTAGCATTTCTACTATTTTTTTTATTTCGATTCGATTGTATTTCTAAATCTAAATGTTTTGTGGTTGTTTGTGTCGTTAAGTTACTGTCTCATTGACGTATACCCCACACTTTTATTTTTCACATTATATGCCGTACTATAAGAAAATATTTTCTATCCGTGCATAATCTATATTACAATTTTTTAAAGGTAATAGTAATAGCCTAAGGTCTATTTTGCACATGATTCAAAATGCAATAGAACAGGAATATCAACAGTAAATCAAAATCCAAAATGTCTATTGTGTCGCGCATTTCTTATCCTTCATTAGGAACACTTGGATTGACCAAAACTGACATTATAAATAGCGGTTCTGTTTTAATTTGTATGATATTTGAACATTCTTATGGTGTACGTTGAACTATTGTTTAGTACGTACTTTACTTGTTTTTCACTATTTTTGATGATATACAGTCAAATCTAAAACGGTATCAGTAGCGAATCTATAGCTTCAAGTGGAAAAGGGGGGGGGGAGGGGGGGGGGGGGGGGAAATACACTACAATACGTATACTTTTAGTTAATGGTAGTTTCTATATAATGTATCGGAGAAAATTAAGTGGTTATTTGAACTCACTGGTACTAGGGCTTTTTTGTTGAAAGAACTGTCGTTATTTGGTGAAACAACAGTTTAGATAAAAAAAAAGAAGATACAATTGGACATCCGGGCTCATGGTATTTTTTTTAACGAATCAACACTTATACATTGTTTCTCCTATATATATTATGTCTTTAAATTTGAGCAAATGAGAAACATTACTGCAGCCATGTCTGATTACAATTCTTCGTGTAGTTTATGAGGTGAACATGAAAAGGAACAAAAAATAAAGTAACGAGAAACGTATAAATATACGACAGAATACGGGCGACAAGAATAGCGATAGCCTTCACGGTCCAGCCTCGGTCCGATGAGGCTAAGCACATGTGTACGGCATAACACTGTTTCAGATAATGATGTTGGAAATAAATGATATAGATATCATTTTTTTTACTTAAAAACACTTGAGGAAACGATGTTATGAATTTTCTTTTAGTCGTTAAATGACATCGTTGTCGGCATTACATAATTTGAAGATAAATATAATAAATCCTGTAATTGCTATTGCTTCAGTTTGTCTCCTGTTATCCCGGGGATGTTTTCTGATTGAGATTAACATTCTAAGAATATTTCATTGCCGTTAGATGCTGCTTTAATTTATTAACTTTGAATCCATTGTCTTTATTGAAAATGAAAAAATAGTACAAAAACAATATATCTTTAAAACCCACAATCCATCATATAAGATAATTGATTTTTCAAATATAGTATTGCCTAAGTACGTCATATTGTTTCAATATTCTAACGTTAATTTGACGTAGGATGAGGTACGAGTCGGGCCTCCCGCATCTCTAGCTAATATTTCAAAACCAACTTCATCTATTATTTAAACACTATTATCTTAATCGGAAGATCGTTGTCTAAATGGGCGCTCACAACAAATTAGTTTGTAATTACTTGTCAACCCTATTGGCCATTTAAAGTGACTTATTCACCAATCCATTCTCTTTATGGCCAAGTTAACAATAGCCTCATTATTTATCGCAGATGCTTTGAAGTCTAACCGAAGTCCGATGTACTAGCTAAAGACAAGTGACTTTTTTCAATTAAATTTCAAACAAGTAAAGATTGTTGCCATCAGTTACATTGCAGATGTTCTGGCTGACGATAAGTAATTGTCTAAATGTTAAAATTTTATTACGTACTCTAATTAAATTTTAAACCAGACAATTAAAAATAGTTTTTTTCGCCTTAAGTATTATTAATGTCTTGTTTGAAGTTTTGACAATGCTTGTTACCGGCGTCGCGCGCAAACGCTTACAGCGAAAATTCTACAAAGTAATACTAGTACGTATTTTGTTGGTATATGGTCAGATATGCATTCTAGTTTTAGTAAATATTTCCTTTGTTTCACTGACTACCTCTTTTAAACTTACAATTTTCTTTTAATAGCTATCAGTTGTTTTATTAGCTATTATACATAATATTATGATTAGTTGCAAGAAAATATATTGCAAAATGTTTGGTTGTTTGTTTATTATTAAAAATTACCATTTCAGAGAAACCTTCAATAAAAACAAAATTTTACGTAAAACTGTAATATTTCATGAAACTTTAGTCTTTAGAAACTACATATAGGAGATTTTTTTCTTGTCTCAGCAGAGTTCTTATTTCCGTTTGGACATTTTTATTTTATTCTTTGAGTAAATCTTAATATGTGCATTGTTTTGGTACATTTCTTTAATTCCACAATATCGTCTACTTATCGGTGACCGAGTGGTCTAAGTAGTTCAATTACTGTATCACTAGTCTGTCAACACTGAGGTTTTGAGTTCGAACCCCGCACGTGGCAGGTGTGTTCGACTCCAATCTAAATTGACAAGGATTGTCAGTTTTCCTGCCGAAGGTCGGTGGATCTCTCTGATTTATTACACTATGTAGACATTTAGTGTTTATTTTTAAATATAAAATTGTAAATATGTGTTGCTTGACTTTTTTTCTCAGAATATTTTAAAATTCAAACCTTTAGAAAACCATGTAAACCGCTTGTTTTGAAATCCGGAGAAATTATACCGACATTTTTGTTCTCATTTTAGAAATTAATGATAATAAAATTTAAGTTTTATTGGTAGGTAAAATTTATGGGGATTTTCTGTTGAAAATGTGTATTCACTTACAAAGATTTATACATTCAAAGCATTATGAGCGCTGTGGTTAAGGTTATTAAAAAACCAGGATGAAAGTAATTGTCCGTTTGGCTGTTCGTCGATGTATAAATTCACAGCTACGTCCGGTCAGAATGGAGACGTTTTTTAAAAAAAAATCCTATGCCTCGTTTATAGAGAGTGCCACGCTCACTGTACTTTAGAGAACCTTTGCAACAACTCTT